CTCTGGGGCACTTACACTGTCTGGACGTCGGTAGCCAGCCCGGCCAGGCCTATGTAGAGCCTGTCACCCATGGGAAAGATCTTCTGGAAGTCCGTGGTCACCATCTGGGCCTGGATTCCGAAACGCCTGTCCGCAGCGATGGCCACACAGTTCTTGCCCTTCATGGCCATGACGGCCCCTCCGTTATAGGACATAATAGACTGGAAACAGACAAATCAAGGGGCTCAGATCGTGGAGCTAAGTGTTGCCATAACTTCCCGCCCAGTCTCCGGAGGCGCCTGGAAGCCCGGAGCTCCAGCCCTAAGATCGGCCCGGCGGGGCACCCAGGAACCGCACTCATCCGCACGGTCCTACCATGCGCATTCTACTGACCAGCAGACCCTCTCCGTCCCACATTCAAGGCTTACCCATCCATGCTTTCAATTCCCATCCCAGGCCCCTTCCCTCCACTCCCCAAGCTCACCATGATTGCGCTCTAGTAGGACTCCGATCGCCACTGCAATTCCTGCAAACCGGCTCCGGCTTTCTCTGGGCCAACGCTCCCGCCGGGCCTCCCCCATTGGCTGATGGGCCGACTCTTCCTGACCAGCGCAGCTTTCTATTGGATAAGCACCCCGTCAGTCACAAATATGCATAGTTTGGTTGAGACACCAAAACGGAGGTCTGGAAAGCGGAAAGTGAAAAGTCACTGTGAGTGCGGAAGAGCCTGCCGTCCGGGGCATGTTGGGATCTTGGCGGACCTGGCCTCTGGCGTCCTCTCCCCCCTCCCTCCCGCCCCGGGGGGAGGGGGCGGGGCTGGCGACACGTGGGCTGCGGACGCGGCCTGGTGGAGCTTCGGCTGTACTCAGAGGGTGTCCCTGGGCTTACTGGGGCGCTGTGGGAGTTGGGCATTTTACTCAAGCTAGCTGACTTCATGTATTCATTCACACATCCCTACTGTGGACCGGGCACTTGGCGGAGCTGCGAATGCCCACTGGCAGCTGTATACCGAGGGCGCTCATTCATTGCAGAATGGGGAGCCGAGCGAGGTTTCGTGCTGCGAGGGTTCGGCTGCGGAGGGGAATTTTTTTGGGGGGTGAGCGGGGGGTTACAGGTTGTTCAGCTTTTGGAGTCCGTCACCCCCATTCCTACAGGTCGACTGACGTAGCCCAAAGTCTCCGTTCAAAAGAACGTCTACAAAAAGAACGTTCTGTGTCCATCCACATAGAAGTCACTAGCCGAGGATAGCCTGGGCCAGCCGTTCCGGGGCAACCCAGGTGGGACGTGCGTGTCCCCTCGCCTTCCCCTCCGGAATCCAACCCGCCTTGGTTCTCCGGCCACGGCTCCCGATCTTCGGGATCGGATTTCTTTGGCTGGAAAAGCTACTGTGACTGCTTGCGTTCATCGCTGCTCTTGCGCCATATCGCGGTCTCTCCTATTGACTCGGCTCTCTGCCTCACAAACAACTGTCACCGTCTCTGTGGCGCAATCGGTTAGCGCGTTCGGCTGTTAACCGAAAGGTTGGTGGTTCGAGCCCACCCAGGGACGGTCAAGTTTTTGAGTGCGCCCTTTTTAAAAAAAAAAAAAAATCACAAATGCTCAAAAGCCAAACTCTGTACCGAGAGTCATTGTGTTTAGAAATTCGTTGTGGTCAACGACAGGATTTCTCCTAACGACTCCCCACTGCCGATCACCACTCTTTCCCCCAATCTGGATTACAGAAAAGCCAAAAAACAGGTTTCTGTCTCGCTGCCATGTTTCACAATGCTTTTTTTCCCTAGGATTAAGAATGAATTTGCTGTGGAGTTTGGCCGGGCAGCTTTCCATTGTCTGTGTCAGTGGACGATATAAACGTGAAATAGTACATCTGTTCCAGAGGAAAGAGTCAGGAAAGAAATCTCGGGGGTAGAGGTGAAAGAGGAAAAACCTAGCTGTGATCTACAGAGAAAGGCATACAACGAGGGGGTCTAAGCAGACATAAGTAGGGGAGTAGGGTGAGATTGCCCCCAAAGAGAGGAAAAGAGAGCCATTAAGAAGAACGGGGAAATAGATGCAGAGACGGACAAAGGGTACTGTTTGCAGGAGGGACAAATGTAAAGGACACAGAGGTAAAGCTGTGCATGAAAGCAATGGCCATTGCCGCCACCATTTTAAAGGGGATCTCATCCTTCCATCGCTCTAGTATGCACTGGAGACAGTCCCTGCCTTGATGTCCCAGGTTCCTGCCCTTTGGGAACCTGATTTATGACTGGTAGTGACCCTCCCATGAGTAGTTATCAGCTAGAGCACAGGGTAGGATACAGACAACATGGAGGGAAGGAAGAGTTCCCGTTTGCAGAGGTGCATTGGTGTTGGTGGGCAGGAAGCCTCTACCTTCCTTGAGGAGAATGTGCAAGGGACTCTTTCAATCAGTTCTCTAGACACTTGGCTCAAAGGAAGTCTCTTCTGGACTCCCTCTCTGATGTTTACACACCCATATGCACAAGCCTAGACGACCACCTGGCCCTTCAAAAGGTGGAAGGAGAAGGGTCTTTTCAGGCATGCCCTCCTGGTCCTGCTGTCAAAACCCAGCCTACCTGCTCTGCCTAAAGCAATACTTGACATTGGCACGTGTCAGATGCTTCTCCATAGCTAATAGAATAAAGACAGAAAGACCAGAGAACTTCAGATGTGAGGATTGATTCTCCTAATAAACCAGAGAAGCTAACAATGTCCCAGCACAGATGATTTATTGACGTTTTAGTGGGCAGTGGGTCTTCGGCGTGCTCCTACTCTCCAGCGGTTTACTCTGGACTGGAACTTAATAGCTGCTTGAGGAGTAAATGGATACTCATTTAATAACCTTCCTGGGTGCCAGCGTTTGATGGAACCGAGATTTCCGACGCCCCTTCAGGTTTCTCTTGTTCAGGGACTTCTAGTGAGAGAATGTCAGAGACGGGGTCCCTGCGGAGGGACCCTTCGTGCTGGGCACTTGTGGTCGCTATCGCAGAGTCCAAGATGCCCAGACACACTGGCCCTGATGACAGTGGGCGTGTCTAACTCGAGCCCCCTTCCCACAGTAGCTTGCGAGCTCGTGGTACCCGATGTAGGGACTGGGAAGCAGGTGACCGATTCTCCCGGGGCCTCTCCCGCTCGCTCTGGGATCACCCGGTCTAGGCGGAAATTTCTCCCGCCCTTCCTCTCCACCCTCATTCGGCCAGCGCGGGCTGAGGGCTGAAACTGGTGGGGTCACTGGACGGCCAGCGTCCACAGGGCTCCTGGTAAGCCAGCCAGTGTGTAAAGCACTCAGTCCGGGGAGCCCCAACTTCGGGGCTGCTTTGGGCTTGGGACAAGGAGAGGAAGCGGGCGCTCCGAAGCTCCACAAAGAGTCATTCCCTGCTCGAGCCAACCTACCGTGCTGGCGCTTAAAGGCATGTCAGGCCGGATAATCGAGCTCTTTGGAGGGAAAGTCACAGTGGCCACCCCCTATAAATCAGAAGTAACGAATAAGCGAAATCGAGCGACCTAATGAGGCCCACGGTTCTCGTGGTAACGCAGAATCGATTCGCTTCCTCGGCGCCGTCTCTTCCAGCTCTCCTTCCTCCCCTGCCTGGTGCCGGGGCCGCTGGGGACCCGCGAGCAAGCGCTGGGTGGAGCCGAGGGTGACTGTCGGAGTCGGCTGGCACCGGCCGCCTTCGCGCTCGCCGGCTCCTCCGAGGCGGCCAGGGAGGCGCACCGGCGGCGAAAAGGCGCGCGTCCTCTCTCGACTCCTCGCTTCCTAGTGCGCCGGGGCCTCGCGAATTCGGCTAGTTATTGTGTCTCTGGCCCGGCGCCCGACTTCGTGTCGCGGGCTTGCTCTCCCCGCCCCGGATTGCGTTCCATTCTTCTCCGCCGGAGCACGCCGAGCGCGCCAGCCTCGGCCACAGCCAAGCCCCGCGGCCACCGTGCGCTCCTGGGGAGGTGCGGCGTCCCCCGGGGGGGAAGGGGGGCCCCCCACGCTCCGGGTCACCCACGCACTTAGGAATCTCAAGGGAATGTCAGCTGAAGTGAGTAAACCTCGCTCGGACGCGTGGCCGGCGGCGCCGTGTCCCCCGCCCCAGCGCCCTTTGGTGGCGGCGAGGCATCGGGTGCTGCGAGACACATTTCCGCCCAGTCTGCATCTCACCATTTTCCAAGCTCCCCAGCTAGAGTAGGGATCGCAGGGTCGGTGGGGGGGAGAGGGGGAGCACACTTAATTTAGGAGGAGGAAGTATCGTGGCTGGAGGTAACACAACAGGACCTTTCCTCCGGGTTCAAGGGGTCTCCTCGGATGCGAGGGGGTCTCGGGTTTGGGGGAAGCCCAGAGCACGGCAGTGGGGAGCAGCTGAGCTAGCCTCTCCCCCTCCTCTTTCCCTCTCTGCAAACATCCTGAAGGAATGAGGTCACGTGGGTGAGTAGTGGGCGGGACCTACTCTTGTCTGGAGGAAAAAAAGCCATTTTGTCGCCCCCCCCCCGCCCCTCCCCTCCCCTCTAGTCCCCTCCCCTCCCCACTCTCCCTCCCACCCCAAGCTGCTCTTACAAACTCCTTTCTTACCATAGGTTTCTCCCCTCCCGCCGACCGAGCGAGCGACAGGGCTGTGGCCCCCCTCCCCTCCCTTCCCTCCCTCCCTCCCATCCCCCCCTCCCCGAGACCCACCGGACCCCGAAGCCAGGTAAGCGGACGCCGACTCGCGCCTGCACCCTTGCTACCTCGTAAGCGTCTGGGGCTGGCGACCCGGGGCCGGTCCACCTTTCCCCGCAGACCCCAGTGGGAGCCGAGAGCCCCGGCCTGGCCTGCCGATCGCGTCCCCTTCCCGCCCCGCCAGCCGCTGTCCAAGCTCGCCCGGTCCGCCTTTCTTTCTCCCGTTCCCGGTCTCTCTCTCTCTCTCTCTTTTTTTTTTCCTTTCCTCCCTTCCAAGATGGCCGAAGTGGATTCCCCCTCTTAACGATTTGGCGTCTCCCTCGACCACCTCCTCTTTGTGCAGCAGCCCCCTGCTAAGACCCTGCTCGCGAGGTATCGAGGGGGAGGGTCCGGGCGGCCACGAGGGCTTTGGGGACACACGCCAGGGTGGGTGTCGCCCCCCCCCTCCGACCCCAGTGTCTCCACCAGCCGGAACAGACTGGGGCTCTGGCCGATCAGCCCCCCTTCGAGCCGGGCAAGGGTCGCCTCTCGCGTGGGCAGTGAGCGCGATAGACGCGCGAGGACTTGAGGCCCGGAGGAAGGGGACTTGGGTTTCTGGTGGCTGCGAGGCCGGGGGAGGGCGCCCTAACTGCTGGGGTCCGGATCCCGGGCACCTCCCCCAGAGGTCCCTTTCCCCAGTCCCGGTGCGAGGCGCCCCGCCCCCTCCCTGAACCACCTCGGCCGAGCTTTTCCTCTACCTCCCTCCTGGGGCCCCACCAAAGTTTGGCTCTAGGGAAGGAGGGAGTGGCCACTCGGTCACTGGGGTGCCTGATCCTTTGACCTGGGCTCCGGGGGAAGAAGCACGGGTGGAGGGGGTAGACTGGGAGCGCGGGGAGGTTTAGCATGCTTTCTCCTTTCACCAGCAGTGGCCAAGGGGTCTGATGAGCTGGCCCTTTTTCCACGGGGGAGGGGGGCAAATGGAAGCGGCTACTCTTTCTTCTCTGAGCCCTGGCGCGGCTAGCTCTGAAAGCTGGGGAACCCTTGGCCTGCAGACACCCCGCGCCCTTCCTGTCTCCCAGGGGCGTCTAGGCAAGCCCCCTCTTTTCCCTCCCCCACTCCCTGGGTCTACCCAAAATTGCTCTGCTTGGCTCGAGCGAGGAGGAGGGCGTGTATGTGTGAATTTAAATGTTTAAGTATATACAGGTGTTATCTCGAGTTTTCCCAGAGTCTTTTGTCTCTCAGAGCCCCCAGCCTTGCTCCCGCCATCCCCCATGCTGCCTCGGTCTCTCTTGGGCTCCCTCTCGCTGAGGGAGGGGCTTCTCTTAGCCAGCTCTCACGGTCCTGGGCCTCCCGCTCTGGACTTCTTGCAGTTGTACTGTTCCTGAAACTCATGACAACACTCCCCCACCCCCCACCCCGCCGACACACATCCCTATCCCTGCTCCAAGGTGTGTTATTACTGTAATCGGAGGAGCATAAAGCCAGCTCTGTTGCAGCGTTTTGGTGGAGAGGTTTTCCCAGGGGTTCCCCTGGTTTAAGGCTGGGGTTTGTGCACTTAGAGCTGTGTTCAGAATGTGAGCAGGAAACAGACGCTACGATCCAGTCCGGCTGTCGCCTGATTCTGTTCAAGTTGAAGTATTGGGAGGTGAGCAGGGGAGGGAAGATGACTCCGAGATCTGGTTGATGTGGCTGTTGCCATGGGAACGGAGAGAGCCTGAAGTGGAAGAGGTTACATATTGTACAGGTCAGATGTCAACTGTAGTCCGCCAGCCTCTGGCCCCAGAGCCGTGCTGGGGGGGAGGGGGGGCGGCGAGCTGCCTTTGTTGCTGGAAGACTTAAATTATAATTTACCCTGAGAAGGCCAGGGGTTCATAGAAGGTTAATCTTGGTGGTTCCGGTTTCAGGCAGGATGTGATGGGGTAGGTGGGAATGGTTTCTACATCTGTGGAGTGGGAGCCTGGCTCCAGTCTAGCTGTGCATGCGGTGGTGTGTGTCTGGCCAGAGTGTCTGTGTGCCTTGTGTGTGACCACCCTTATCTGGCTCTGGGCGCTGTGAATGTGAGAGGTGCAGGGGGTGTGTTTGGCTCTGGATCTGGGTGTCATGCAGTGTTGCCCTGGGTGTATTCTTTGGGTTTTTTGTTTTTTGGTTGGTTGGTTGGTTTTGTTTTTTTAAATTTTATCTTCAGGAGCTGAGTTGTGGGTAGAGGAGGCTTCCAGCCTTTTTCCAGGGTCAAAGGTTAGGAAAAGATGACATGAGAGAATCACAGTGTCCTAGTGCAGAATGCTGTGGCCCACATGTAAACACATGAGGTTTGCACAGTTGGGTCTATGAAGCAGGCCGGGGAACGAATGCTAGAAATTCATGTCTACACACTAGACTCTGGCTCACTCTGTTTCCATGGTGCCTCAGTTTCCCCATCTACACGGTGGAAGTGGTGTAGGCATTAGCTTCCTGCCCTTCTACCCACCGGCTCAGCTCTTCAGCTGAGTAAGGAGCACCCACTGGGCGCCAGCATATGAAAAGCGTTAGAACAGGAGGCAGGCAGATACTTGTCCGAGCATTGCCCCTGTTTCTGTGACCTTGGACAAGTCACACCTAAGCTTTTCATCTGTAAAACGAGGAGCCTGCATATCATGCTTTCAAAGATCACATAGACCTCTGCTAGTCAAAGGCTAGGGTGTGACCTTGAATGACCTCTCAGGGCCTGGGGCTTGATTTGATTTGGTGAACAAGCAAAGCTGTGTGGCTGGTGTCCCCGGGAGCAGCAGGACCCTCTTTCTGTGATGTCAGAGGCCAGCTCCTGCAGGAGAGAAGGAAGTCTGGTTCATTGGAGAGATGTGAGATGTCTGTCAGCGGGAGGCTGGGAGCATGGGAAGAGATTCAGATACAGATGAGCAAGGGGCTGGGTGCAGGTGCTGACCAAGCCCCTTTCCTGCCTGGGGCCACTGGGAGCCAGGAGCTTGGGCCAGGGAGAACAGATCCAGACTTCAGATAAAGACGTTGGGGGGTGGGGGGGGGGTTGGAGGGATGTAGTTGGTTCTGGCCTCTTCCTCAGCTCCAATGAGACCAGTTCCAAATGGCCTCCGCCCTTTTCTGCTTCTTGGGACCTATGTCTTTCACTTTTTCTTCGCCAGGCCCTTTGTCTCTCCCGCTGTCCCCTCCAGAGTGATGCGGTGCCTCATTCCTTGTCCCTCTTGTCCCCCCAGCACCACAGCCCCCTGCGTGGGGAGGATGGAACACAGGTCCTGATCAGGCAGGGAAGTGGGGAGGGGATGCCCTGGGGACTTGGATCTCCTGTTTACAGACACTCTTGGCACCTGCTGACAGGGCCCTGCAGGTATCCATGGCAATCCGGTGGGGAGCCAATCAGTGCCTCTCCCCACCCCCAGCACTAGCGGTGGCTTTCTGAGGCCCCTAGGGATGAGGATGGGGAACAGGGAGGCTCTCTGCTCCCAGGGGAGACAAGGAGCTTTTCAGTCCATGGCATCTCCTTCCCTTACTACTCTGAGCCCAGAAAGGGACCTGGGGGCTGCTCTTGTATGAAACCTCAAAATTGATGGGCTGAGTGGGGCTCCTGTGGCTTCTTAGAGACTGGTATCTATCCATTTGGAAAGAAAGTGAGCGTGTGACTGAAATGCCTGAGGCAGTGTGAAGAGCGCCTGTATTCGTGTGTGTGTGTGTGTGTGTGTGTGTGTGTGTGTGTGTGTGTGTGTGTGTATTGCATATGTGTACCAGGTGTGGGGGGTACTTACCCTAGCAGCCTAGCTTCCCTGGCTGGATCCGACTCGGATACAGTTTGCTTCTGTCTCGGTGTGTCTCCGGACACAGACACACACAACGCAAGCAAGCAGGCACATGAAGCACCGTTGGCCTCCCAGACAGCACGTCCACACGGTGGCTGTTACCCACGCTCAAAGAGACAGCCACTTGGAGTTTGTTCTGTCCTCTGGATGGTTGTAATAATATTTGGGCTGCTTGCCAGGGACTATGTTACCATGGAAACAACTAAACAGTAGAGTAGCCAGCAGGCTCTTAGAAATTGTGAAGGGGGACCCACGCAGGGAGGACCAGCTAGGGCCACCATGGGGGCAGAAACTTTGCAGGCCAGGGGTGGCCGCCTCGGGCTGCCTTGTTCACCCCTTCTTTTCTGCAACTCGGTGTCTGTCCCAAGTGTGGCCTTTGTGTCTCTCCATTTTTCCCAGTCTCTGGCCAGGTGCCCCGGGGCCTTATTGGCTGTTTGGGTCCTGGCCAGGCTCATCCTGGGGTCTCTATAGAAACTGCTGATCCTGGCTGTGAATTTCTTGTCCTAGAAAAGCCAGTGTGGTGGCTTTAGAAATCTTTCTGGAAAAGAAAGGAGGTTGTATGTTGTAAAGGTGCGGTTGGGGCTTGGCCAGCCTCTCAAGCCCAGCTCCTGGGCTTCTGCTCTGGGAGAGAAGGAAAGAGGCAGCCTCCTCCAGTCCAGAGCCAGAGTCAGCTTTGAAATGACCTTGGCCTGCTGGGGTCTGGCCAGGTGCATTGGAGAGCTGGGGACAGAGAATGCTCTCTGCCCAGTGTTGGCAGGGGTCTAGGGGAGCCTATGAACACAGGTGGCAGAAGTCACCAGGCTGGGGTGTGGTGGGATCCCAGTGGCACATGAAGCCATTCTGTGTGTTCATGAAAGTGGGTTCCTGGACCACGCGCGCACTGGAGAGCACTTAGTGCGCTTTGAGGGTGGGGGGTGGGGGCACCATGGAGTGGTTCTCACCACAGTGCAGTAAAGGTCTTTTTGCCAGGCTCTTACACTACCTGTAGAATCCAGTGCCAGGCTGGGCCTACAGCTTCTTCATAACATGGGACATAATGAAAACCAGCCTTAGGGTTCTCAGCTGGAAGTCCAAAGGGTCAGCGCATGGAGACATGCAAGGAGCTGTATGTGTCCGGGGACGTTAGAGGGACCTAGCCAAAAGGACAAGCGACAGGCCTGTGTCCCAGTACCTCTCAAGCAGGCTTCCCCATGACGAATCTCTCATTGACGGAGCAGCGTTAATTCATTCTTCATTTTGGTCTGTGAATTGAGTTGTCTGGACGATTTCTCATAGCTGTTAGTACTCGGTAAATATTTGACAACTTGAATGGATGTGGGTTGGAATCAGGAATATTGCTAAAATTTTTTATTGCATTTAGAGAGAGAGAGAGAGAGAGAGAGAGAGTGTGTGTGTGTGTGTGTGTGTGCGCAAAGGACAACTTGCAGCTATTTGGGTTTTTTTTTTTTCTCTTTCCATCGTGTGGGTCACAAGGCTTGGCTGCAAGCACCAGGTATGGTGAGCCCTCTCACAGGCCCATGTGTCCCAGGAAGATCTTTTCTAGGGGTTGGGGGAAGTTTCAAGTCAGGGTTTCTCTGTGTAGCTTTTGGAGCCTGTCCTGGAACTCTCTCTGTAGACCAGGCTGGCTTCGAACTCACAGAGATCTGCCTGTCTCTGCCTCCTGAGTGCTGGGCTTAAAGGCGTGCCATCCCACCCAGCTCCCAGGAAGATCTTCCATTTTCTTGCCCTCCCACATCCATCTTCAAGAGTTGGTTAGTGTTTCTTACGGTCTGACTTCAGTCCTTCTTGCTGCTTCTGAGATGGTCCACGACCTTGTTTCTCAAAGTGGGAGAAACCTCCTGAGCCCCCAACGCCCAGTGAACACTTAGAGGGAGACCCAGAGACAGCCAGCCTCAGACATGTGCCTGGTTCCTCATCTGAGACAGAAAAACAAGGGGGGGGGGGGGCGTCGGCTCAGGAGAGCTGTTGATTGAAGCGGTGTAGCTAAGTGGCTTAGGGTGGCTGGGTTTCTGATCCCATTTCTATTTCCCAGGGTGACACTTCCCAAGTCTCCTCAGTCCTAACCCCTGGCATCATGCATCGGACCACACGGATTAAAATCACAGAGCTGAATCCTCACCTCATGTGTGCCCTCTGTGGGGGCTATTTCATCGACGCCACCACCATTGTGGAGTGCTTGCATTCCTGTGAGTTGAGTACAGGGGTGCTCAGCTTGGGGAAACTGGAACACACAGCTCTTGCTGCCCTGGAGAGCAGACACTGGGTCACTGAGAAACTGCTAAGAAGGGACAAAGTGGGGGCAGTCCTGGGCCCAGAAGTTCATCCCAGGGACAGCATCAGAAACCTCCACTTTCCCTGGTATCTCTGGCTGGTTTGACCCCTGAAGACTTGGGGGTCACTCATCTGTGCTGTCGGATTGGTTCCAAGCGATCCAGCACTGGTGGGATGTCTTACCAGACTGGCTCAGAGGAGCCTGGGACTTGGTACACTTTGTTAGGCAGGACACCATCCTGCCTCACACAGAGACATAGGGCCTAAGGGTGGACAAGGCGCGGCAGGCCAGATGTGTGCATGCACCATGCCATGTGAGCAATCCTGAGCTACTGGGTCAAAGTGGGAAGGGAAGGCCTGGGCAGAAGGGGTTCTGACTGTCCTCTCTCTGTCCGCACCCCAAGTCTGCAAAACCTGCATCGTGCGCTACTTGGAGACCAACAAATATTGCCCCATGTGTGACGTCCAGGTCCATAAAACCCGACCACTGCTGAGCATCAGGTGGGCTTGTGTCCTCTTACCCTGCCTCCCGGTGGCTTCCGGCTTGACATTAGGCTAGGAAATACCAGACTGAGAACCTGCATGCCTGGGTGCTGGCTGTGAAAGGGCTACCAAGCTGATCCCTGGCTGCAGAGACGAAGGTACTGTGGCTGCTAACGTTTGTGTACCATTCTTTTCCCAGGTCAGACAAAACCCTCCAGGACATTGTCTACAAGTTGGTGCCTGGGCTTTTTAAAGGTATCACAAGCCCCTGCCTGTGCTGCCCAGCTAGCCTTCCCCCATTTCCTAATGGCTGCCCGCTCACGCCTGCCTCCTTCCTTTAGATGAGATGAAACGGCGGCGGGACTTCTATGCAGCATACCCCCTGACGGAGGGTGAGTGTCTTCACCTCACCACGGTCTGGTCTGGTTCCTGAAGCAGCAACCCGAGGGCCTAGGGCTGCCCCCCCCCCCCCCCCCGCTGTGAGGGTGGAGTGTACCAGCTTCGGCCCTCCCATCTCCCAGACCTCCCTGCTAGAGGGTGTTGTGCAGAGGGGGTGGAGCTCACCTCTGAGCCACCTGCTCCCGTTCCCTAGGTCCTCAGCCCCTTGCTCTATCTCTGACCAACCCCTCTGAGCTGTCTCCCTCTACAGTCCCCAATGGCTCCAACGAGGACCGGGGCGAGGTCCTAGAGCAGGAGAAGGGGGCTCTGGGCGATGATGAGATTGTCAGTCTTTCCATTGAGTTCTACGAAGGAGTCAGGCAAGTTCAACCCAAGCCATTTTCCCACCCTGGCTCATCCCCCATCAGATGTGCTCCAGCAACCCCTCCATCTTTCGCTTCTATCTCCTCCAGGGACCGAGAGGAGAAGAAGAGCCTCCTGGAGAATGGGGATGGGGACAAGGAGAAGGTGAGTGTTGGGGCCTTCCCAGGAGTGAGCTGTGAGCTGAGGGAGAGTGCCATGGAATAGACCTTCTCACTGGGACCTCTTCCCCCACAGACAGGGGTGCGTTTCCTGCGATGTCCAGCAGCCATGACGGTCATGCACCTTGCAAAGTTCCTCCGCAACAAAATGGATGTACCCAGCAAGTACAAGGTGAATGCCTCCGCCATCTCAGATATCAGGGGTCCGTCAGTGTGTCTGGTTGATGGGCATCACATAGTTCTACAGCTGGACCTGCAGGAACAGGCAGGCTAGCCCAACTGTTTAGGATAAGACAGTCTGTAATTGTTGTAGTTGGTGTGCAGAAGGCCCAAGACCAGGGAGGTGTGCGTGTCAAAACTGTCAGGCCTTCAAGAGGGCCAGGGAGCTGTAGGGACACAGACTGGCAAGCCCTATTGAACACAGCAACACAGGATCCCTTGTGGGTCTGATTCGGTTGACCCTGCTTCTTTGACAAGCTCCTAGATGCTGCTCCTGGAAAGGCCTCATTGAGCCTACACTTGGGGTCCGGAGACGGTAGGCATTGCTTCGTTCACTGGCGAGGTCAGATGCAGGGATGAGCCTATCAAACAGCTGCTCCTGTGGTTCCCTACGGGCCCTGGGTCAAGGGGTCCCCTTGACCTTGCTGGCTCTCTAGAGCCCTCCCCATCAGCAGGTTGGGGGACTTGGGACAGTTCCACAAGGGAAGTCACATATACAGTAGGGAGGGGTCTCCTGCAGTCCATCTTTCAGTTCACTCACATCCAACCTCCAAGACTCCCCGCCCTGGCAGTCAGGCCTCATGAAGTCCTTCCTTCCCTCCAGGTGGAGATCCTCTATGAAGATGAGCCCCTGAAGGAATATTACACCCTCATGGACATTGCCTACATCTACCCCTGGCGGAGGGTGAGCCTGTGAGCAGGTGGTACAAGGTGGGGGCAGTCCCGGGAAGGAGGTCCTACTGGGCCTGGCATGGTCTGTGGCCACAGTGACATGAGACACCCTCTTATGTCAGGTAGTTCATTCCTTGTCTCTGGAGCCAGGCCTGGGTGGCTCATCATACCAGGTCAGCTCTAGGCCATTTCTTTGTTTGTTTTGACATAGGGTCTCTCCCTGGCTGGCCTCAAACTTGGTATGAGGTCCAGGCTGGCCTCGAATTCACAGCAATCCTTCTGCCTCAGCCCCCTGAAGGCTGAGATTACTGGCATACCTACCACGTATCTCTTGCTGATGCCCTCCCCTGGCTGGTACCACCCAGCACTGTGGTGTATGATGTGGCCTTCTGCATCCTGTGGTCTTACAGCCCACCCTCACTGCCGACCCCTGCCGCCTCCGGCTCTGACGCCCTTCTTCCCTGGCTCTGTGTCTCTGTATTTGGCTGCTCTTCCTCTGCAGGCCCTCTCCTCGTCAAGGCTCAGACCTTCCCTTTGCTCCTGGTTGGGTCTTGGTTAGGTTGCAGGGATGGGGTGGCCCCTGGTGGGTCTTTCTGCTGACACTTATTCTTTTCTCTTATTGCTGGCCTCTTCCCCTTCACCACAGAATGGACCTCTCCCCCTGAAGTACCGTGTCCAGCCAGCCTGCAAGCGGCTCACCCTGCCCACAGTGCCCACTCCTTCAGAGGGCACCAACACCAGCGGAGCATCAGAGTGTGAGTCAGTCAGCGACAAGGCTCCCAGCCCTGCCACCCTTCCGGCCACCTCCTCCTCCTTGCCCAGCCCTGCGACCCCCTCCCATGGCTCTCCCAGCTCCCACGGCCCCCCAGCCACCCACCCTACCTCCCCCACTCCACCTTCGACTGCCGGTGGGACTACCACTGCTGCCAACGGGGGCACTTCGAACTGCCTGCAGACGCCATCCTCCACCAGCAGGGGGCGCAAGATGACTGTTAACGGAGCTCCTTGCCCCCCTTAACTTGAGGAAAGGGACCCTCTCCCTCAGCAGCCACCTCTCCCCTCCCTTCTACTTTTTCTCGGCCCCTTTTTCCACCTTTGACTTTCCCTGGTTCCTCCCATCTTCAGAGTGGGAGGTGGGTTTTATAAATAAATCTATCTATATATATAAATATATATATATGTACATAGGAAAAACCAAATATACATACTTATTTTCTATGGACCAACCAGATTAATTTAAATGCCACAGGAAACAAACTCTGTGTGTGTGTGTGTGTGTGTGTGTGTGTGTGTGTGTGTGTGTGTGTGTGTGTCTAGGGGGTCTTCTGTAGTTTGCTCTGCTCTTATGGGGCCGTTGGAAGTATGAAGGCCCTCTCCTGTGTTCCTTCTGCTTCCCAGGGCAGACAGAGGGCATGGTGGGTCTCCTAGCCGACTAGATATGGGGTCCGTTTCCACTGCTCCCCACCCCACCCATCTCTAAGCCCCCACTGTTGAATGTCCAGAGATTGCTAAGACAGTGCCTTTGACAAGTGTGGTTTGTCCCCTGGCTGTGAGGGTCGAGTGGCCATGGAGAAGGCATCTCCCTCACCTCTTTGGACAGTGGGAACCTTGTGCAAAGAATTGATAGTTCTACCTTTTTTTATACCCCCCCACCTCCTTTTTTTCTTCTTTCCTGTGTGTGGCCTTTGCATCATTTACCTTTGTGGAAGAGAAGATTCAGGCTATGGGGAGACCCCGGCCCTGCCAAGTCTATGTGTGACTCTCCTCCTGACCCACACTAGCAAGATGGAGGTGACACTCACTGGGGCCGAGAGTGGAGGGTTAGGATGGGTAAGCCCGGACAAGCACAGACTCCAGTCTGCTTCCCCAACCCTAGCTGAGGCCGAGCAGGGACAAGGCACAGGCATGCAGAAGCACAAGAAAATAAAGTGTAAGCTAACCCCCACTCTACCTAGTGGACCACCTATTAGGGGCAGACCTTGCCTACCTGGTTTTCCTTAAGTGTACATAGATGGATGGGGGGGCAGGGGGAGGGGGAGGACCAGGGTATTGGCTCAGGTATGTGAGGTCCTGAGCCCGTGGGTCTGTTTGCACCATGTCCCGAGTCTGAGGTCCTGTGACTGTACCCTCCTGTCCTGGTCATTTGTATCTCTTGGTTTTGTAATAAACGCTGCATACTCTCTTGAGCTTGTCATTCTTTGGGGCAGAGGGAGAAGGAGGAGGAGGAGGGAGGAGGGAAGAGGTGCTCCCTACCCCTACTAAGCCGACTGGAGTGGATCTGAACTGCTCCACTTAGGCCACCGGATACTCTCTGCCTCCACAGATCCAACTCTAGCAGGAGGCACTGTGAGCCTTGCCAGTGACCACAGGCACACTCAGAGGGTGGGTCGCATTGTTTAATGACAGTTTACCAGGTGTTGAGCCAGGGGCCTGCTCTCAACTGCACTATAGGAGATTACAGGTTTTTCAGGGAACAGTTGCTAAAAACTTGGTCTTTGGATGTTCCCTTCTGTGGCACTGTTGGCTCCACAGAGGGGAAGGCTGCAGGAGGCGGGGAGCCGCAGTACTCCTCAGAGTGGGGAGCCCACCTCCGCCTTCTGTACCTGCTCACTCTTGTGGGTACCATCGCAGTAAGGAGGACGCTGGGTGGCCTTGCAGGTACATAGGGCCACTGTGCGGGTCTCTTGGGCCTTGAACTTGAGTGGCCAAAGGCCAGTGTGCTGGAAGAAGTGGGAGCCGTCACAGAAGGGCTGATGGGAGAAAAAGAAGAGGGATGGGGTAGGAGGAGAGTTGACCACCGTTAGCCCTGCATCTGGGGGTCACGGCAAGACTGCCGTGAAGAAATGATGGTCACTGTACAGTTATTACAAGTATTCTTCATTGCTCACCTTTGGGAAACCCAGAAGGCCCCAGGACAGTTTGCAAAGGGAACTGGGCCTCAGTGAGAGGCAATGTTAATACAAACAAGGTTGGAGTTTTTTGTTGTCTCTTACATTTTTAAAATTTGGGGTGTGTGTGTGTGGGTGTGTGTGTGCAGGCATGGGCTTGTGCACTCACAGAAGTCACAGAGCAACTGTGGGGAGTTGGTTTTATCCTTCTACCCTGTGCGCCCAGGGGGGTCACACAAGTCAGCAAGGTGGTGTGACAAGTGTCTTGAACCACTGAGCATTAGCAGTCCCATTCTTTTGTTTTTAGATAAGTTCTCATGTAACGTAGGCCTACCTGGAACAGGCTATATTGCCTGAAGATGACCTTTGAACTCCTATCCTCCTGCCTCTGCCTTCCAAGTGCTAGGACTACAGGTGTGTGTCATCACACCCTGTGGGAGACCTGCTCCCACTTTCACCCCAGGGTACTCTTGGGGAGAGAGAAGTGAAAAATATTTAGATAGACTATGGAGGGAGAGAGACAGAAACACAGGATAGCCTCAGGAGGGCCTGGATCAAAACCCACCGACCCCTTCTGTCTCTTCAAAGGGGCTTTTAAAGGAATGCCAAGGGGTGGAGCAAAAGACCTCCCCCCAGCACAGCCAAGTGCAGACACTTCCAAACACCCGATGACCATGCCCGTGGTCAAGCCATCCCCTAATGCAGCCCTGCTGTGTAAAGCAAGCTCAGATCTCACTAGAAACCTCTGTGGACCCCAACGACACCGTTGATTCCGTGCTGGGGATAGACTCCAGGGCTTCTGTGTACAACAGACAAACATTCTATCAACTCAGCTATAGCCACAACCCTCCATTTTGTTTTGTTTTGTTTTGAATGGCTGAGTGAACCCCCACTGACTCATGAAAGTGACATTCTTCTCAATGGTCACCAGGGTGAGAGAGAGCCCAGCAGCCCAGTGCCTTTCCAGAGTGGGGTCAGTCTTGAGTGGGTCCAGAAAACAACAACAAGGATGTGTCTTTGACAACCTGCCTGCCTGGGGTAGCATTATTAATGTGTGTACCATGTCCCTCCCAAGATGCCTTCAAAGCAGGATGATGAAGACTGAGGCCCAAAGAGAGGAGAGGCTTTGTTAGGGGCAGAAATGGAGGAGACAGACCAGCACCCTGCCTAAAGGGCATGGCACCTGCCCCACCCCAGTCCTCTGGCTGGCATGCCCTTGAAACTGCCCCACCCTCTGGAATATCTGTTCAAAGGCCACACAACAAATCTATGGTAAAGTAAGCCGTGGGATCTGGGTTTCTCATACCAGTCACACAGCATGGAGAACAGTGCAGAGCTCTCCAGAGAGAGAGAGGTTCCTGCTACAATGCAGGATGGCATTAAAAGGCACCAGGCAAACAGAAGTCACATCCAAGGGGAGCAGAGCATGACGAGACCTAGGGAGGGACACTGAGGAAGACAGGGCAGAACCTTCCCAGCTGTGAGGTCCAAAGCCTGGCACATGGGCAGAGATGCTGCCTACGAGGTGGAGGGAGAAAGACAAGTCCTTGGTGCCCAGGAGCTGGAGAACAGGGGTGCAGAGGGAGACGGGACTGCAAGGACAGAAGCCAGTTACAGCACTGGCAGTTAACTGAAGGGCCATCTTCCACGGCTCTGCTTTGAACGCTTCCTGGGAGGGACGTGATGGACACACTGTGAGCTGGTCTTCTGCTACCAAGCCCCCACATTGTATCTCGGGTATATACAGAAAGAAAGGAAATATGGATGGGCTGAAAGTTCCCGGGATGGACCATGCTGACTCCAAGTGGGGGTGGGGGTGAGGGGTGGAGATGGGGGTGTGTGTCGGATCTCCCATCCAAGTACTAACCAGGTTTAACCCTGCTTAGCTTCTGAGGTCAGGCTTGTTCAGGGTGGTAGGACGATAGAGCTGTGTCGCATCTAAGTGAAAGGCCACAGGAATGACTTACTTGCTTCTTGCTTCGGCCACATACACACCATCTGTAGGTTTTCCCGGCAACAAGCTCCAACCTGATCGGTGTTTTCTGTGCCACCACGGGCTTGGCTGGGTCTTTGGGGAACCATCGGGCCTAGGGCCAGGGAAGAGAAGAGGCTCGGGGTCATCCCAAGCCTTGGAAGTAGTGCAAGTTTGCATGATCCCTGCTACTTTCTTCAAACCTTGGGGATGGGCTTATCAAGTGGCTGTCCTCGCCTCGGTCCAGAAGCCTGGCTCCTTGCCCTCTGCCCTCAGCCCCACAAAACTTTTCCTAGCGCCTGCTGGGGGCAGGGGTGTCCCCTGTCGCTGTCTTCGATGTAGCCCTGAAATCAGGGGAAGTGATGGGACTTGTGTGCAGAGAGAAGGCGGCATTCGGTGTACTCACCAGCCAAGAGGAGATTTCCCGCCTCTGGCACAGCTTCGACAAGGCAGGCCGGCAGATGTGATTTGGAAATAGAAAAATAAAATCAGTGGAGAAGGGAGGACGCCGGAAGCCCATCTGGGAAGGAAAAGACCACAGGCTAAGGGGTCGTGGGAGCGACAAAAGGGTTGGGAAAAGGGTCGCAGCAGAGGCAGGTCTTGGCATCCACTCGATGCTCCCACAGGAAAAAGGACTGCCCCGAGGGGACGCAGGGCCGAGGGGCGGAGTCTGGCCCTGGCCGGGGGAGGCGGGGCTGAACGGCCCGGGGTCATCCGAGAGAGGACGCTCACCGAGGCTCCGCGCATGACCACAGCGTGAAGGCTCGTCCCCACGCCGCGCACGGCCGCTCTGCGCATGGCCGCGTCCGGGTCGCCACCCTCTCCGCCCCGCCCCCTCCCCCCTCCCGGAAGACGCCGCCCGGCCGGCCCCGCGCAGGAGGGGCAGGCAGCGCAGCCCTGGAGCCGGCAGGTGCCGCCCTGGCCCTGGGAGTCCAAGGCAGTGAGTGTGTTCAAGAGCGCACGCAGGGTGGGGATCGATCAGCCGGCAGGGCTCCGGTGTCCGCATCTTCACCTGCACCGCATATTCTGTGACTTCCGGTTTGAACTGCTCCTCCAAGTACTTAAAAAGGGGTCATTGACCATACATATCCGTCCTCCTCCTCCCACAGGCCCCCATAGTTGGCAGCCCATCTCCCTCCCTTCAGTGAAGCCAGACAAAGCAAGGTCTCTTTGGATTTCCATTTTTTTTTTTTAAGTAAAACATTCTTTTATTAAAAGAACAAGTGCTGTTTACGAACTGCCCTTCGTACAAATAACATCCGTTATACAAAGATACAAGACCCAGGCTATGCACAATTCCAGGCTTGGAGGTCGCAAGGGAACACTGCCTCTTGGGCTGAGGATATAAAGGTTTCAGAAAGAATGAAAAATGAGCCCCTGGGTTTGCAATCTGTGGCTTCCCTTCCTTGCTCCCCTAGGAAGGATCTGCTACATGGAAACAGGCTGGGATGGAAGGAAGGGAGCCAGAGTTCGGTCTTCAGCCCCAAGTGGGCCTGGAGAAAGTGAACACAGGAGAACGGGGCAGCTCTCGGTCCCCACCTCTTCAGTAGGTCAAGACAAGGTGGTCTGGTGGAAATTATAACACAGCTGCAACCCAGGAGGAAGTAGCTAGAGGGATCGCAAGGGTTCCCGGGCCCAGTCTTCCTCCAAGATCCGGGTGAAGTTACCTACATCCTATTGGGCACCTCTTCCCAGGAACCAGCTGCCTGTTACTCCCTTTGGCCCACTGCACTCTTGAGATGGAAAAGCAGTGGGGAACCTGTGTCTTTGAAAACCTGTCAGCGTTGCCAGTTTGGGAAAGGGAAATGGAAATGTTAGCCTTTCTTTGGGCTCCCCTCACTTGTCCAGGCCCTTCCTAGGAGTCTAGGGTGGGCACTCCCTGGGTCTCAACACAGGAAAGGGTCACCAGCCTCAAGATCAGGGTACCTACCTAGGGGCAGCAGTTGACCCAGGAGCCTGAGGGGAAACCCATAAGCTGGGATGAGGGAGAGGGGATGAGGAGATAACAATTTATTCTTTTTTTTTTTTTTTCTTAAAGGCAACCCTTAAAGTGTCATTGTCTATGGAGAGGATTCGTCAGCTCAGAGCTAAGACAGTCAGTGCTACATAGATACCTTCCCACCGTGGGCACAACCCTACACTCACAACCACACCATCACACACACACCACACACACACAGGGACAGCCTGCCCGCCAACCAGCTGCAGCTTAGAGGCTGGATGATGGGATAGGAATGACCAGGCCAGGTGAGGCTTAACACTGCTGTCACTGAGTACCTGTCCCTCCTAGGCTTAGAGCAGTCACCTGGAAAGCCAGCTCCA